TAATAGTGCTTCTTACCTCAGTATCTTCTTCATATCCATTTTCTACTCTGTTCCCTTATCTCATCTCCTTTCACCTATTCATCTCATTTGCCACTCTAGCCGTACGCCCTAGGTATCGTTTCTCCCCAGGATGAAAGCTTCAGTAATGAGCACGGCTCTCGCAGCCCTTACCTTCCTCCCCTCCCTCAGCACGTGCACTCCCATCGCAAGCCCCAGCTCCGTCGCCATCTCCAAACCTATCCCCTCCCTCCCCCTGACAGTCAGCGTCGTGAAAACCTTCGAAACCTCCTCCTGGTGCGAGAACATCGCCATCAGATCCAACGGCAATCTTCTCGTCTCCCGTCTCGATACCCCCGAGGTTCTCCTCGTCTCCCCTACAAACGCATTCGACCCCATCACCATCACCACCTTCAACGCCACTACCTACAAAGGCGCCCTCGGTATCTCCGAAACCACAAAAGATGTCTTCTACGTCATCACCTCCGCCCAAGTCGACGACTCCTTCGTCAAAACCAGCGGCGTAAACTCCATCTGGAAAATCAACATGAAGACTTTTGCCCAAAGCAAAGGAATAATTACCTCCCCGGCAACCGTTACAAAGATCGTCGATATCCCCGGTGCCGATTTCCTTAACGGAATGACCACATTAGACCACGAAAATGTGCTCGTAGGAGATATCTACAACGGCTGGGTATACAAAGTCTGCGTCACCACGGGCGCCTACTCCATCATCATCAACGATCCCAAGATGAAAGTTCCCGCGGGCGCCTCCACCAATCTCGGGGTCAACGGAATCAAAATCTCGAAATCCTATCTCTACTGGACCAACACCGCCGTGGGTACTCTCAACAAAATCAAGATTAAAAGCGATGGAACACCGATTGGATCCAGCTCCGTCGTCGTAAGCAATGTTCCCAGAGCAGATGATTTTATTTTCAAGCGCGATGGAACTATCTGGGTTGCGCAAAATGCAATGGATAAATTGAGTTATATTCCTGTAGGAGCTAGTCAAGCTACTCTTGTTGCTGGAAGTAACATTTCGACTACTTTGGCTGGTGTTACTTCGGGCCATTTTGGAAGAACGGCTAAGGATGCTAATATTTTATATTTGGCTACTAGTGGTGGTGAGTTTTCCCTTTCCCTTCTTTTTAAACCTATTTTGTGTCATCTGGAAATTTGACGATACTAATTGAAAAAAGGATTGGGATCACCCATCAACGGAACCGTGACCGTAGCTGGAAGTATTGTCAAAATCGACACCACTGGGTTTTAATAATCAACGCCTGGGAGTGATGATGATGAATGTGATGAAGATGTAAAATGGTAGTTCCAGAGTGTGGAATTGCATGATTTCATGTTTGATGCTGATGTCGAATTGATACATGTATAAATTTTAAAATATAGAAAATAATAATATCTTTAGCAAGTAAGAATCCATGTGCCTATCCGTAATCAGTGCTCTGGACTACAATTTTGAACTTCTTTTAGCACCGCTCGCTTCTGACTCTCGGGACCCCCAGAGGCGAGGTCTGAAGATGGTGGTAACAGGTGTAAACGTGGAATATGAGGGGTCCAAGCGAATGAATAAGATACCAACAACAATAATTCTACAGCACCTCGATTTCAAATCATAAGTCTGATACAATGCTTTTATATTGAACAAATGTATTGTATACCGTGATTCAAAGGTCATCATACCTACCTATCTACATATTAAAACTAAACAAATCCGCGAAATTCTCCTTGGACCTTCAGCGCGATCCAAAACCTGCGCATTACGCAAAGGTAACAACATTATGGACGCAATGTGATGTCAGCAAGAGTGGGGACTAACGATTTTTCAACTTGCTGTCTATTTTTGGAGTTCTTGTTGACAAAACAAACCTGCGAGTAATTAATCATCAATTCAGATCGCAAAATATGTGTTTGCAGCTATGCAAGAATCCTCATTTGCATCCTGGGAACATCAGATGAGAAGAACTTTTCACAGCGACATATTTACCTACATACGTCTTTCATTCCTACATCGATGATTTGGGATTCGAACTTTTGATTCTTTATATGGATGGTTATTATCATTATCTAGAACACGAGCAGATGATCTGAAGAAAGGTACCGAGGAGAGAGGGGTTGCTTGAGGGGGGTCCTGTAGACATCAGACGAGAAGGCGATGCTGAAGCGATGTAAATATCAATTGATGGAATAGCCGAATCTCAGATTCAAAAAGCGATGCGAGACCAGATCTGTAAATACTTCGGAAATACTATGGACATCTATACCATGATAATGATGAGATAGGAGCCGTAGAGCTGGAAGACTCCAAACCAGGTAATTGACCGTTACATAAAGACGCATAATGTGGAATTCTATTTTCTGTGCCTCAGCACTTCGAATTGGCACATAGAATGCTGAATCAACACCACGTCTACTCGGCTCACAGAGTTTACGTTGCACTCTCCGCGGACTTTATTAATAGCAAGAAAGAATCCCCGTTGAGTGCAATTTCCGATACGGTACTGCTGAGATCAAGCACCTCATATACTTCTGAATATCAAAAACATAGCTGTCTATCGACTGTGGCTAGATAGGCGAATTTAAACGGGAAAACAATACAGAATGATCACGCTGATTACACACAAACGTAATGTTATCGAAATTGTAGGGAATACTTGTGTGTGGAAGAAATCCACATTCTGGAGTTGTATTCGGAAAATTTCAGACGATAGATAATAGTCGGTTGAAAAATCATGAACAATTGAGAGAGGTATCAATTCAACATGGAATGAAAGTGCAATGTGAAAAGACTGTCTTTCCGCTTGCAAGCCTTGAGAAGTTCGATTTTTTTGAGAGATTGAAAGGGGTTGAAAGTCTCAATTGGGGTGAGATCTTCAATCTCCATACAGAGACAGTGCAATGAAGGATGGGAGATATCATGGGAATATACAGATGGATATGTTGAGCGAGTTTAAAAGCTTGAAGGCATAGGTATTTAACCATAAAGTGAAGAGGCTATATTCGCAAGATAGATCGTGAAAGCATTCAATATTGTACTGTGTTGGAGAAAAGCCAAAGAGCAAGGAAAGTCGTGGAGTAGTTACATCTTGTAAAGCATTTGCAAACAACGCCGAAGTTCAAAATTCAAAATCGAGTACTTTCAAGAGCCTGTACATCGAAAGGTTCCAGTCCTCATGGATAATGTAACTGACATATTAGAGGACCTGATACCTTCACTCCTGCATCTTATATTGATATCGGTGAATGCGGCTTCGAATGATTTCGTTCCTTGATGCAGACAGGAAAAGCCAATGGGTTCTCACACTCTGATCCTACCCCAACCTTGACGCTCTATTCTCGCAGCACCCCAAAACGGTTGTTACGTTGAAGAAAACAAGCGAGTTTCTGAGATCTTTGGGAATTTGAGGCGGGATTGGGCACCGAGTAGGGTTTACCCAGGTATACCCGGGTATTTTTTCTGGGTATTTCAATGAATATTCAATCTATAATATTTTTTGAATAGGGTAAATATTCGAGAGATGATATTGAGTATAAATATATTCGCGAGTAAACATTATATGAATTCATTAGATTATTGAGTTTTTTAATTAATAAAATAGAAATTCATTTCTTTATTATAATTTACAAATTCTAATTTGAATAGTTGATTATTAATTGATACTTACAATTATAATTCTTTTAAAGAGTTTAGATGATAATAATAAATATTCATATACATATAACTCGTAACTTTCATATAATTTAAACTTATTATAAAGAAAACTTTTATATAGGGTAAAGGATTATATTTACCATTATAATCTTAATATTATTAATTTATACATCTGAATTATTAAATAGATTGAAAATAATCTCCTCTTAAAACAATAACTATTAGACGATTATATAATATTTACCCCGGATACCTCGAATACCCAGCGATATTTTTGATTTTTCTGAGTATCCACTCTGCTATATACTTATAGGGTAGAGTAAATACCTGGTGAGGTCAAAAACGCCAGGTAGGGTACGGGTGCCCAAGCCTGATTCGAGATAATAAGACAGAGTTTGGCCAGGTTCAAAGTAACTCCGTCCGAATCGACGACTGTAGCACCTGTCTAGACTTGGCTGAAGACACTGAAGATAGCGCTTCGAGTTTGATGTTATAATTGTAGGGGTTTGTATGCTCTACAAGGTAGACACAGTAATAGAACTTTACAGGTTTGAGAGTACAGATCCTCTCTTCCTGGATGGTATCATTTCGATGATACTTCATTGCCTAAAAATAGGACAAATTTCCAATCATGGGGTAATGAAGAAACTTCTGTAAACAGTAGAGGTATTTATAGGACTTGCAAACTTCAATTGTTAACGAAAATAGAAGAGTCTTCCGGTTTGGCCTTGACAAATGGGATGGTTCTGTATATAGATCAAAGACGGGGAATGCCAGCGAAGTAAGTAGTCAATGGGTAAGAAACGAACAATGAGTGAGGGTTTAACTCGAAAAATGTAAATTTGTAATCTTTACACCTGTGCTAAGCATGAACGAACCCCGCAGACGTGTCAGATTAATACTCGAATTCTGGTTGTGACTATTCCTCATCGACTTAGGACACTCACAGAGTTCTGATATGCAGGTCTAATGCTGCCTTGCTTGTGAAGAAGTCATACTTATTGATGACTGCAGTAACCTAATCCATACCCTCCATGTTCATGATCCACGCTCATATGCATACATAACTAACGTAGATGAAGCTAAAATAGAAAGTCGTTTCGCTGACCTAGTCACCTTCGACATCATGCGGTATTAATAAAAGGCACATAGACAAATACTGGTAGATCAAAGGTATGCGGCGCTTAGCGCATCTAATACATACTATTGATGCATAAAACATCCAACGTTCATTCATGGTCTTCAGAATCGTGGTTGATGAGACGTGGAGATTAAGCTTATCACGTGCAATGCAAGATGTTCTTCTTAGAGCAAACGGGGTCTTCCAGATCTATTACCGGGCCGATGTGCCAAGAAGTTCAAAGTCCTGCAAGTCAGTAATCCTACATACATAATACATACTGTCACATTCCGAGAAGGGAGGGAGATCGAACATGTACATCCCGAGGTTTGTGATATGAACATGGATCGGCGGTGAGAATATCGCGATTCTTGTGTACGTGGTACACATGGCGTACAATACAGATGATGAGAAGTCTGTATCTCTTGTCCGCGCTGGATGGCAAACATTTATTGTACTCGTGGAGTTCTAGAAAGTGTTCGAATAAGATACTGGATGGAAATACACACTGATCTTACTTTGAGGTCGTGAGCTTACTATGTGAGGAAGGTAATAGATTGAAATCACTTACTAACCTTATAAGAAACGCCTCTGGATGAGTCCAAGGACAATTATCAGCTGTAATGTCCATATGGTCCATGGAGCGCAAAAAGGAATTGCCATCAAGAGTATCATGGATAATAAGAAAAGCCATGATACAGGCATTGTAGGTATTGGATATCTTGAGGAAGATCATTTCCTAAATCGGGATACATAGATGCTTTCTCATTGACGCTGGCTACCAAGATATTGTTGGAAAGATATCATCTTATGCTCTGAATGGAATCAATAGATCTTCCGCAATGTAACCCAGAATAAGATTCACGCACGACTGTGCCTCCTTGGGGTAGGCGAGGCAGGTACAGTATGATATATTCCAGGACTTCTAGGACTCCAACACTGGTAAGAATATGCATTACACGACATCGATCAAACTCAGGGAGTACCTTTCCAAGTTCTCTGTTTTCACTCGCAGTTAGTTTCACACTTGTTATGTGCTGTGTCCGTACTCTTGCTCGCTCTCGTACAAGGCCAAGATCTTCCTTCCACTCAAGTTCTTAGATCGGCTCCAAAGTAGAATGGCGGCGTTGGATCCTTGAAGAGAAAACCGGAGACAGTAAACTTATCTGAGTATAGCTTCATCTTCTTTTCATCTGGTTAATCTGGTTAATCTGTGAATTTCTTAATCCCATCCTATCATACCATTCACATCCATTAACCAGAGAATCATGAGTCTAGAATTTGATCCTTATTTACCAATTATTGAAAGTCGTGCCGAATCAAAGCATCAAGGGGGGGAAGGGGGGGAGGGCGATGATCACCGAGATGCTACCTAGTAGGTACCTACATAGTACGAAGTACATACGAAGTACATCAGTTCGGGAATTTATCCCTCTACAGCACATTTCGTACCTTCACTTCAAACAGGCTTCTATTAGCTTCACTCACTTCATAATTTCCAGCCGCCACCAATCAATAAAGAGGATGCGGATGTACTCCATAAGTATGACAATAAAATAAATCTAACAAAATAACTTCATCATTTAAATTGACCAAAAAAAAAAGCAACCAAGCAGTAATTAGATACCATTGTTACCACATTTATGTGGAGATATGGATGTAAATAATTGATTCCCTACTTCAGAATTTCTTTTTTTCAAACATTCCCATCTCCATTGTCGACATAGCGAATCTACCTATATCATCTTTGTTCTCGACCTTCACATGGATAGGATACCTGAGTAGTATCAAGATCATCTTTTTTTTGACATCGGATCCTCAGCTTTCCGTGCTTCCTATGCAAAACTTACCTCAACTCCATTCCAAGTTCTACTTAGTCCATGAAATCGATATCGCACGGCAATATTAATCACAAATTACCATCATTGTGGGTTTCTACCGTGACATTGCTTCGATCTTCATCTGCATAATATCGGCCATTGTATCCCAGCTTCAAATTTCTTCTCGTTGGCCAATGTTATTGGGAATACGGAGATACCACAAGAAAATCTTCTGCGAAGATTCGCAGCATACCCAATCGTGGCGGCATACAACCAGCCTCATCTTGCGCCAGGATTCGGTCTGGAATATCAATACCTTCAATCGAACCCCTCACCTATATATTCGGGATCTACCAGTACCACATCGGACTTGACTATCATTGGCGATCAACGATACGCTTCCCCAGCTTATCCTATCTGCGACAACAGTCATAGACCTACAAAACGTCAAAAGATTAATGGAAAGCCAAAGCACATTAAAGTTCGAGCGAAGATAGATAATCAGATGCCAGGAAATGATGGGTCTTCCGCAACTGCTGCGGAAGCTTCTACAACTGCTGCAAATAAACCAAAACGGGTACGAACAGGATGTTTGACATGCAGAGAAAGACATTTGAAATGTGATGAGGGTCTGCCAAACTGTCTGAATTGCCGGAAATCTAGTAGGGAATGCAAAAGAGGGGTGCGATTAAATTTTATCGATACCCAGATCAAATCACCACCAATGATCCCTCCGACAGCAGATTGGTCAGGTCAGTAGATTGAAGGATGTTTTCGCCATACATTTACTCACGCATTTTCAGTTCAATTCCAAGATGAATCCCGCGAAATTGCTTCGGAATACAAGGGCGGCCTAAGTCGGTATGCTCACATCGAACAAACAATTACTCCTCCTCGAGATCCACCCACCGAATATCCTATGCGACCTGTGGTTGGTGATCCTATGATGCAAGGAAATGCCCTTCCACCAATACAGACTACTGGTACTTTCATGGAAAATAACCTTGGGGTTAAGCAAGAGATGGCAAATTCTTCACATTCTAGGCATACAAGTACACATTTATCTCACGCTGGTAGTGAGACTTCTAGCTATTTGACCGCGCCGACTGCATACACTGCTTCGGAACATATTATCACGCCACCAAACGAATCTCGGGATTATCTTACTACTCCCGAAGAAGTTCTATATATGCAGGTTTTCGTCGAGGAAGTTGGATTATGGATGGATAGTATGGACCCGATGAAACACTTCTCCAGGCTATTGCCGTTCCATTCTCTAGGAGAACCCATGCTTCTTAATGCTTTCCTAGCATGTGGAGCTCGACATTTGACTCTTGTCAATCCTGTTTACCAGGAGGACAAAGCATTATATTATTATGATACAGCCACTACTCAATTGTTGCGATCGTTACAAAATCCCGATCGCGATACTGTCATCTGTGCAACTACAGCTGTCATTCTTAACGTTTATGAGATCATGTCCGAAAGAGCGATGCAACGTATGAACCATATTGCCGGAGCACGAGCTTTGATTAAGGAATGTGGATGGAATGCAAGAAGTACTGGTGTAGGGGCCGCATGCTTTTGGCTTAATGTTGGTATGGAATTGCTCAGTTGTTTGCATTTTAATTGGCAGGTAGCTTGGGAACCAGATCAATGGGGAGTGGATATGGACTTTTCACGGGAATTGGAAGCTGGACGAGAGGAAGTCTGGGTCCATCGGATGCTATACATCATTGGTAAAATCGCAAATTTCCGGGCATCAATCCCACGGTTTCAGGAGGCATCACCACACGACGAACAAATTCGAATGCAATCTAGGTATGCGGAGTGGCAAAAATTAAAGAATCTTTGTGATAGCTGGAATAATAGTATACCTCGGACCATGCACCCAATGGCTTATTTGTATCCGTCACAGACCACCTCAAGTTCCGCCTTCCCAGAAGTCTGGTGAGTATCTATCCATTAAGCGGGTTGTACAAAGTAACCTACTAATCACAAACTGATAGGCTTCTCAAACGTGCCACAATCGTTGGTAGATTGTTCTACCACACAGCGATGTGCCTTCTCCCTCAAATCAATCCGTTGTTGAGCCCAGAAAATTCGGATATGCATGATATGCAGCAAGACCATTCTCGTTCCATATGTGGCATTGTAGCACACGTCAAGGACAGGGGAGTAGCTAGTGTCGCGCTTCGCTCCTTAGCTATTGCTGCCGAATGTTTAGTCGTTCGTCGCGAACAAGAAGAAGTACTCACCATATTCGAAAAAATTCGAAAAGAGACGGGTTGGAGAGTTGGATTTTTACACAAAGAACTCAAAACGAAGTGGGGCTGGCCAGATGAAACAACACCACAGCAACAGATGATGCCACAAGTGAATTCCTTGTCACAATTTTTCCCCTCTAATACGCCAGCACCAACGTCAAATTTACCACCTGCACCAGCAAGGCCGTCCATTCCAAGCGGTATCTTGAATCCTCTTCTGAAAACTGCGGACTTCTCCCTACCGAATCATCCATATCAACAACATTATCAACCACCAAACACAACAAATCAATTTACTCATACATATCTATAATTGATACATCATATTACAAACGACCATCGTGAGCTTCATTCTTCATTACATCTTCGACGACGCTATAGGAGACGCAAATCAAGATGATACCTGAGAGGACATATTCAGGGATGGACGCCATTTTGCAAACGGAATCTGGGGCACAAAATTCTCAATTTAGCGTTATGAACTGGGAAATTGGAGTCAAATTGGCGTTTGGGGAATAAACAATCGGCGCTGGATTTGTGGGGCACTCCTAGGTATTCTTGAACATAAAACCTTGGAGTTTGAGGGAATGGAGGGCTTTATTCTTTCAGCGTTGTTCTTGGATACTGTAGTACTATAGAGAGAGTGACGTGGACGACAGTGTATATACATTATATATGAATTGTATTATCTCTGAATATTAAAGAATGTACCTATTCTGTTCGATATTTGCCCTTCTCGTCTGAATGGTTTGAAGTCGGTGAGTAGGTGAACTCATCATGAACAGGAAATTAAGGCTACTAGGTACTTTACCTTTTGCCATTTTCATATACAAGTAGGCGAAGCCGGTAATATTGGTAGACGGGCAACGATTCAATATTATACAGATACCCATATTTCATTTTTCAGTTCAAGAGGAAGATTGATTTTCACACTACCACCAGTGCCACCAGTGGGTGCACGAACTCACGGGACACTTAAGAAGAAAGCATAATTTCACGTTCAAATCCATTGATTTCAAATTTTAATTACAATTTATATTCGTTTTGAAAAAACTTCAAATTTTCTTTTTTTTGATTCAATTTTTATATTATGTGGAATTTTAGTATTTATAAATTATTTGTTTCAATTTCAAAATAATTTAGTGAAATATTGAATTATAATTGAATTATTAAAATTGATCTTTTTGATATAGAATTGTACTTTACTTATTATCCCCTAGACCGTCATTATATGACGCCTGAGTGGTTCATACATTAAACAAAACCATCAATATTTTTATAAATAATATTAATAATAAGGAAATCAATAAATATACAATACACAATAATTCCATCAATATAATTTTGATTAATACAAAATTTAATCCCACAAATATAAAAACATTACACTTAGATATCCCCTTTATTTCAAAAGTAAAGAGTTCTTTCGAATTTATAAATTATATTAATTTCAATTGAAAATTCATTTTATAAGCTAATACTCAAGAATATAATATATTCAATTTATTTTATATTTATTTTCTTATTAAAATAATAGAATTGATAATAAAATAAACAAATTCATATATATAAATATAAAAAAACAAAGAACTTTTGAATTTATAGATATTTCGATAATATTTTATAATAACAAACAAGGTTTATCTATATTTAAATATATATATACATATATCAGTTTATATTGAGTTTAAACTTGAAATTTATTAGGAATATAATAAGAATATTAATATACATTTTTATATATATTTCATATTAAGGAATAGATTTGAAAAGTTTTATATAAGGTATTATATTAAACCCTTTAAAATAATTAATGTTTATAAAAAAGTGAGATATCATTTTGTGTATTTGAATTTTATATACTAATATGTTTATTTATAAGTAAATCTATTGTTAGATTATATTTAAAGTATCAATCTTTTAATATAAATACCTTAAGGTTGAATATCAATCAATAAAGGTATAGCTCAATATTCTAACTAATTAAGCTTTATTATTATTATTAAAAATAAACCTATATCTATAGAATTTAAAATATAAATAATAATAGATTAAAGCTTCTTTATAATATAGAATTAGTATAAGATTAACAAAAAGAATAATTCTATAAGTATAATTATACCCCCTCTTTTAGGATTAATAATAAATGAAAAACATATAAATCCTATACAAATAGTAGTTCTATATTTGATATAAAGATTACCTAAAGCATTATATTATATTTATTTTGATAATCTATTCATTTCCTATAACTTTTTGGAGTATATACGTTATTTAGGATATACTGTGACAAAGATATATAGGTTTAATTCTAGTATTTATAAAGATCTAATTAATTTAAAAGTTTAAAATACTAAAGATAATAAGATATTAGAAGGAATAATTTAATCTAAAGTATTATTTTCAAATAATATATGTTTTATAATATGGAAAAATAATATAATGGTTTTAATCTGATTTATAATTTATAATAAAAAACTTTTATTAATAGAATATATAAAAGATTGAAAATTACCTTTTCAAAAACTAAAACAATTCAAATACTATTCGAAAATAAATATAAGAAAGAATTACCTATTTCAATTCTTTTTAATAATTATAATTATAATATAAATACTATTAATATAGAAGATTAATTATATACATTTATATTAAAGTATTAATAATGTTCACAATGAAGGAGTAGGCCAGTAGAATGCATGTATTATTGACTCTGTAGATTAATTATACTAAGGTAAAATCTAACTACGAAGTAGAAGTAATATATACACAGTAGCTTAGAGCACGTGCTACAACTTCCAACAAATAACAATAATATAATAATCATTAAGCTTTAAAATAATGACTTTTTGTTATTGTTTTAATTAATTGCTATTTAATTTATAAAGAAATTATATTAAAATATTTTATAATTAAATTTCTTAAGTATAATGATTTTCGAAAATCTCTTACTAATAGATTGATTATTGAATTTGAATTTAAATATTATTCTAAATATATAAAACAAATTTAACTAATCTTAATTAAAGATTATAATTCTTTTTAAAATTATCATTTTATATAATTGAAAAGTAAAAAGAATTGTTATATTTATAAGAGATAATTTTATAAAACAAAAAGGGTTATATTAAAGAAGAAATTTATTAATTTTAAATTAAAAAGAATAAGGTATAAGAATAAATAAGAATATAAAGAATGTAATATTCCTTTATATAATAATAATAAGTGTTTCAATAATTATTATAGAATATAGTCCTAATATTATAAGAATTCTCAGAATCCTGATGTTCTGATTGATCACTAAGATCCCTGTTAAGCGAGGCGTCATATAATGGCGGTCTAGGGGATAAGCTGACCCATGAGTCCGTGCACCCACTGGTGTATCTCTCTACCCGGATTAGTCATCAGCATCATGAACGTGATGCAGAAAACTGACCAACGATATCAGCTGCACGTGACTGAGTGCGATCTCGAAAAGTTTTGTTGCACATCTGAAATGTGTCGGTCGTTTACAAACGTTTCAAAAGCGTTTTCGGGAAGTTTTGTTGAATCCTTTTGGGGGAGCGGTCGCTAATAATTTTATTACAGCTATGTAGCACCTTGTAGGTAAATTTTTCACGTTACACTGAGCTGTTGGGTTCGGCATATATTTATGAGTATCAATCTAGGTATGTAGGAAACATTAGATAGAGTCTGATTTCCAACATAATAACAGTTCTCTTTATTGACATGGACTCGCTATTGTGGGCTCCAGTGATGCTTATGTAACGAACTTGTATATTTCAACAGATCAGGCTTCCGGCGTACAACGATTTTATCAATAAACTCCTATCAATCACTGACTCTATGAGAAACTTGATTTTCACATTACACTGACTTTTCATCTCTCCATCTCGGGTACTCACTCCTAAGCACTTTGACACAGACGCAATGTCCGTACCGACAGGTGCACCTCAACCATCATATATTCTACGCGGACATGCGACTCCAATACATGCAGCGAAGTTTATACGAGGCAATACGAGATTGATTACGGGAGATGCGGAGGGATGGGTTGTGATGTGGAGTTTGGAGAGTAGGAGGGGGACGGCGGTTTGGAGGGCGCATGAGGGGGTTCTGCTGGGGGTGGGGGAGTGGGGGGAGGGGGTTGTGACGTGAGTTTTGTTCTTTTTCTTTTTCTGTTTTCTTAGGGTTTGGAGATTTGGAGATTTGGAGATTTGTTGTTGAGGGAAGAAGAGGGGGAAGGAAATGGGATTGACTAGCTGTCATCATGTTTGGGAACAGAAGGGTGAGCAGAGAAGAACGCCAAGCTGACTTCTGATAGGCATGGAAAAGACAACAAACTAATAATATGGAAACTCCCCCCATCAGAGGAGGAATTCATGAGTAAAGTTCTTCCCGTTGATACCGTCTCAGAAGAGAGGAGAAAACCATGGATTTCACATATGTTAGATGTCAACACCATGAATTTTTGCGCGTTCGCTATGTGTTCTTTGAATTTGGACGTCAAAACTACGGAGGACGAAGAGAAGGGGAAAGACGAAAAGGCAGAAGCTGAAATTGAATACGACGAGAAGAGTAAAAATCAATTATTAATCGCAGTCCCAAATACCTTAACATCCGAATCAGTGAGTATTCTTCCCCGCGAGACAAACAAGAGAAACTAACAATCCCAGATCGATATCTTCCACATTCCCACTCTCCACCGTCTACACAATATTCCTTCGCCCGGACCAGAGAAACCAGGCATGATCATGTGTCTATCACTCTTTTGCCACCCCATCACTAAATGCCTCACCGTTCTTTCCGGTTACGAAGATGGATCAGTTTCCATCTTCTCCTTTACTTCTTCCCTCCCCCCATCCTCTTCTTTCCCTTCAGCTGCACCTTCATCTCAATGGAACACCATATACCATTCCAAATCGCACATCCAACCCGTTCTCTCCCTTTCTCTCGATCCAAGTCCCGATCGCAGATTCTTCCTCACGAGTGGTGCTGATGATCGGATTATCAAATATTTGATCCCTACCAGCACGACTCCTGTCTCTCCTTCAGCATCACCATCAGCCTCAAGATCAAACCCAAATTCGATACTAACCTCCACCAAAGACGCCCCCAAAATACTCAAAACAGCACATTCCGGACAACAAAGCATAGAAATGCGAAACGATGGGAAGATAGCCGTAACAGCCGGATGGGATGGAAGAGCAAGAGTGTACGGAGTAGCGAAGATGAGAGAATTGGCGGTGTTGAAGTGGCATAGGGATGGATGTTTTGCGGTTGCGGTTGCGGATGTTTTGGAGGGGAGAATGAAGGAGAGTGGAGGTGAGAAGGGAAGGGAGGTTGTGGGGAGATTGGGAGAATTGGATGTTAAGGGGGAGAGATTGAGGAAGGCGAGGGAAACACATTGGGTCGCTGTGGGGGGGAAGGATGGGAAGGTTAGTTTGTGGGATGCTTATTGAGGGATTGGGAAGGAAGTCTTCCACGCTTTTGAGAGTAGAAGTTGTGTGAGGTTGTGAAATCATAGTTTCATGATGAATTGATAATCTGTTGGGGAAATCGAGAAATACACATGCAAGCCACATTAAATATTCAGATGAAAATTAACATTAATAGTATTTCAAAAGATCAAAATTTAAGTAAAAGTCGAAAGATCGAACAGGGAAACAATCAAACATATATCGATCATCTAACAAATCATCACACCACTACACCAAACCACCTTCCCCTTCCCCTTCCCTCCAAAATTCACTCTCCCATGCTGGCAAAACCTAATATCCCCAGAATCTCCATCCATCCCTAGACCCCCCCAAATCTAAGCCTTACAAGGCGACCCACCCCCCTCAGCCGGCAACCCACACTCCTCCGGCGTCACCAACATCCAATCCGCATCAATATTTCCCAACTCGACCGCTCTCCCATTAGTCAGGGTATTCAACGCGCTCTCGGCAATATTGAACCCGGTGGCCGCCGCATCAATGGCCAAGATATTGATGGAAACACCTTGATACGTTAAAGTATAGCACGTACCACAGTTCGGAGAGTTCCAACCGGCGATCGTGGATGCGCCGCTGATACGGGCAAAGGTGGGGAGATCACCTTGGACTTTGTATTGGGGGAAGCGGGTTTCGAGACCGTTGGGTCCGTTGGAGCAGGAGACGGCGGAGAGGGAGCGTGCGGCGTTGTCGTAGCCGGGGTCGTATGTTACTTGGATGGCGAGGGTGGAGGTGAGAAGGAGGGGGAGGAGGGTGGGGATGTTGCGGAATTGCATTTTAGTGGGGGTCGTTCTTGGGGGATTTTGTGTTTTGGTGGTGGTAGTTGGTTTTGGGAGGCGGTTTGGTGTAGCGATGTGATGTGATGTTTGTCGAGATGTCGAAAGTTCTTGGCGAGAGTTGATGCTGTTGATGTTGGTTTCCTGAAGGACTCTTGCTTCAATTTATATCCATCATGATGGTTTCTGTTGTTTGTAGATTTGATTGTTTACTAAGTTACGCATATCTAGGACGTTTGCTTCCGAAATTTCGAGTTCCTCACAGTCCTAGAGTGGTAGGTAGATCTCACGAAGCTGTTCTATTTTGGAGACTGATTGAGTGATCAATACAGTGCATATTTTGATGTTGTAATAATAGGAAGAATTAAAGCATCAGAGTTGGCCAGGAGATAGTTATTACTTCACGTTCTTGAAGCGGGGTGAAAAAGAATGTTAGGAATGTTGGAAGCCCAGAAGAAGATTATGAAGTGAACGGCGTGTGGCTTGTGACCAAGATTCAAACTTATTTACTAAATATAGACTTCAAATATCCAAATATAGATACATTCTCTTAATCTCCATTCCCACTGTAATCGAAGTCTTCCTTGAACACGCTCAAATGTTTCGAAGGAGGAGGTTCTCAATCATGATCATCACGATCTGGCAGCTTGCCTTCTATATCCTCTACCTAATTGCTGAAGCACCATTTAAAATACTACTAAGTATGAATTGTTGGTATCGAGGAGACTAGATCCACGCAAGTTTTGAACAAGGACATGATGAAAAGATATGACATGATGAGCATCTAAAGCTGGAGCGTCTTTAATAAATTGGAAGGGTGCACGGACCTCTCGATATATATCCAGACTTCCTCCTGCTATCAGAAATCACACGGATTGCAAACTACAGTAAGCCTTATCTCAACTCCTGTTGTACTTGATATTGTACATGAGTTTTCAATTGTTGAATTGCAGTCCGGAATATTGGACACCCTGGGCTTACAGTCGCAGCGCTCCAATTCCGGAGGTCCGTACTGATGATATACTTTTTCTTGGCTTTTTGGTTTTCTGGGAATGTTCTCTCATCTTCTAGGAAATTTGGCGCCGTAACCGATATAGCGCTGCTTGGGACGTTCTCAACCGTTTCAGAGCCCGATCGAAAGGTGGGTTGTTGCTCACGAGGCAGGAAGATCCTTTGGATGAAGTATGAAACTTCATCAATGATACGTAATATACGGATGCAGAATCCTGACAAAGACTTTAACTCATCAGCATCGAGACTTCAGGGATATTGTGACTGATATCTAGGATATTCGTCGAAGTCATCTATCATTGGTAGTGAGATGAAGCTTGCATATCCGAGTGGTTTTTCTTTACACACCAAGTTCCTACTACCGCGCATTAGTTCAGATATAAGTGAAAAGGACCTTGGAAACAGAGCTGATGGAACACGCCAGTATGGGCAACGATTGTCTGATAGATTTGGTCACACGGACGAGTAATCTTTCCTATCCATAAAAAGATCCCGAGAGCTGGTAGCGAGACTGATTGGATACCGATACTTAGACAACATCTGCCTACCCACTGCCCACCCACCGGGCATCAATATCGCAATCAGTCACGACTCACTTACCTCCATTGCTATCATTGAAGATAAGCCAAAAGCCCAAACTCAAAGTCGGAGAGCAAACTGCCATCAGCCAACGAGCCATCAACCATCAAATCGCCTACCATCATATACACCAGTTGACGAGTCTGGATGTTATCCCACCTCCCCCCCCTCCCGCTTCATCCCCTCGCCTACTAAGCCCTATCTTCATCCACTCAAAACGATTTAACATGGCTTGTGTCTAGATGTCCCATGTCTTGGTTCCAAATCAATCCTTGATGCCCATCAAACTTTAAGCTTGGCATATCGATAAGAAGATGAACAAGCTCCTCACCAATTAAACTGGGACCCCCCCACGTGCAGAGTTTATACGTCAGTAAGTATCCCAGAATCCCATATAAAAGATCAAGAACCTTGAGTTTTGATCCCATTCAATAAATTATCCATCCTCACGCGAATGGTATCGGAAATTGGACAGAGAAACCGAAAGTGGTTGAGTTATTTGGTAACAGTTACTTTTTTTAGGGAAAATGCCTAGACACGTGCCTGCGTCTATTCCCCGGGGATTGGATTTGAGAAGGTCGCAATATGGTGGCGGTACGACATTGAATAGTACTACTACTACTGCCAATATTGTGGTGGATAAAATGAATGCTGTCCCTGGATTTCTAGCTAGTGCTGGTGAGTTTCTTCATTTATATATTTTCTTTGCAGAAGTATTCCTTTTGTGTCCTTTTTTATGTTGAGTCGCCGGTTCTCTTTGTACGAAAAAAGTTTGTGGTTTTTGGAAGACAAAAAGTGTTGAAAAGGGTTTCTGTGAAACTTTCAGTCTGAGCAGGTGGGAAGCAATTTCAACCAATCCAATTTATATTAACCTTCGTTATTTTGTGGATTTTATCCCTCAATTTCTCAATTGTGAGTGAGAAGAGAATCTTCGCATGTTAAAATACTTTATTTTCGCAAACGTGGACAATTTATCATTCAACACCAACTTGCAAAAATTCTCGTCAAGCTCTGCTAACAATACATCCCCACCAGCTTTCTTTACTTTCCTTCGAGCAAATCTGGTTCTGCCACCATCAACACTCAATTCTACAACCTCGACTCCAATTCTGAGCGCATCGTTTTCTCCCAACCTTCCACTAATTCGACCATCATCTCTCGCAACTATGTCTTCCAATATCGATGATGATACCATTGTTCCCGATCCGCTTGACGGCATTCCCTCTCTCACAACTACAGCATTAGACACCGCAGAGGATAAAACGAAAGCTCTAAAATTAGTTGCAGATTCTATTGCCCAACAACGGCAAATCGCTGCCCAAGCAATAATTTTCCATCCTCTTACTCTTACCCTGTACGCATTGATAATTGGGATTGTTACAAAATGGCAATACACAGACACCAGCGACTTGGGATTACTTGGAACCACACTAGCAGGAGTGACAATGGCATGTTTGGTAGCAGTTCGAGCTGCTACCGCAGGATTTTTACACACGGCCGAGGAATTCAATTGGAGTTTTGCCAAAAATGATGAAGGAGAGGAAGATGTTATTATTGGATCTCGATATGGGGAAGAACTCATTGGAGCACTTATATTGCGCATTGAACGAGCCCCTCATGTAAATGGATCGCCAAGGAAAGGAAAAAGTGGCAAGAAGGGAGGGAAAGGTGTCATCAGGGCTTGGACTACAAGAGTAAGGTATAGAGGTACGGGTGTGGGAACAGAGATGTTGGAAGAGGCTGTTAGGGTAACCAGAGCGAAATTTGGAAATTCCGCAGAGGTGGGTTTTGCTAAAGAACATGCAAATGCGAAGATGATATTGCCGGAAATGTTCAATGGGGAGTTCAGGAGGAGGGAGAGACGGGCTGCAGGAGCATTGGAAGCAGTGGTCGAAGGCGGAAGAGGAAAGAAGAGGTAGGTGATTGTGTATAGACGGGATAGATGTGAGGACTCTTGTATTTTTCTCCGGGCGGTAGTTCGGATATGGATTCGGGCTTGGGTCAGGATTTTGGATATTATACAGGATTCGGTCATAGAATAGCATGGCAGCCAGAATGAGCTACTTCTCGGTGCTCTTGACAATCGTTTGTAGCATAGCGAGTCAGTCTTTTGGTCAGGGATAGGTACAGATTAATTATATTACTATAATCACTCCATTGAACCACGTGTTTTACTATGGTTCATATGTTCAATGGCTCTTTCACAACGGATGAATCTAATCGTGTATCAAAGTGGAACCCACCCTCAGTAATTACAGCATATATATAGGCACGAAGAACTACTTGATCGTCGACCTCAGTTGTGAACCGAAGAACAGCCCGAAGCATATGTGCAGGTATACAAGTTTGATATGTGGGATTTTTCGTCTAACATATGCCTGGATATTGAGTTCAGAACCTCCTAACCCCGCATTACCTGAGCCGAATTTGAGGAGATCTAAATGTAGCAGTAATGATGACGATCGAAATTCTCATTCTATCATCGTGATTGTTTGATGACGCGCTGGCGTTGATTTAGAAACCACGGATCCTCATCACTGAAGTGTGCGAGTTGATGGATCATGGAATGGATTTTGATGGGACTTCCTTGAGACTTCTTCTCAACGCTTCTTATGAGTGCTTTTCGTTTGACAGGGGTGAGCTATTTCGCTTATCAAATGACTAAGCATACAATTCCCATTTTTCTCCAAACTTTTCTGCAATTCTTTTTTTAATTTTATTCCCATACTTCTTCTAAATTTCTCCCATTTTTATTCATTGGATCC